TCGGATGCTCGGGGCACTCGGATGCTAGAGGTATTTTGGGAATATGGTTGATTTATTATTATTTTGCGCGTCTCATCACTTATTATTTTTTCCTCGACTTCCGAAGCTCGGTTTAGACGCTTTAAGCGTCTAAATATTTAATACTCGGGCGACGAATTAATTTCTTCCAAATTAATTCGTCGAGTCGGTTCGTTTACTGCTAAGGGTATGACCCGAAGGGTTCAGTAAAGATTAAGCTGTAATATTAATTATGCATTAATAATACTGATCGGAAGCGGGCCTCCACCTAGGCATTCCGATCACTTGACCTTACTGAATATATTAGCTTTCTAATAATTCTGAATTCACTAATGGAATAGTACACTTGTTCGAAGGACACCATTCCTTTCAATCTCGGACAAGTACGCATTTAGTGTACATCCTTTTTCTTATGTCGCTTAATGTCTCTTCATGAACAGTTAAGATTATTTTGTCATCCTTATTACGTCCAGAAGTGTTTTTCGATTCCGAGTCCGACTGTCAATAAACAGATGATTTCTAAAATCCATCCGAGCACGGCCATGCATTTTTATAGTCTCGCTCTACTAGAGGCCTTGTATACAACAAAGACATCTTCCCTATTTTAGTAGGGGGACATTCCCAGTCTTGTAATGTAGCTTCTCTTACTGAGAGGACCTAGCCGCCCGAGTATTGCTGTTATAATCCCCTATTACGGCAGAAGTTTGACAACATCAAAGCGAACTAGTTCTCAAACAAAATAACTCACAATACTCATGGTCGAGGAAATAGGTTCCGATAGCCATAATGAGAAGTATACTTATGACGTTTTTAATCTCTTAAATTATTCTCATGGGTCGATCCAGTATGGTTCTAAACCAATACCTGTGCAAATGATTTATGACAATCATATCCTCGTAGCACAAGAAACAGTGCTATAAATCACACTACACACTAATCTCAATTGGTCATTAATCGTCCATCGTTTAAATGACCTGAATTAGGGATAATTTTCGATTATAATATTCAACATTCACTTCATAGGTGTTTCCTTACCAAGACTGGTCTTGATACCCTATTTTGAATATTCCAAGTATCGAATGGACTCATTATTTAATTTTAAACCACAATTAAATAGCAAACGGAGTGATAAAATTGCATGAAATTTTAAATTACTCCAAAACCTAAATGGTTCATCTTATGATAAATGGTTTTTTCGAATGTTTTAAGAGTATCACTCTTTATAAAACATTTAAGAAATCACACTCATATCTAATATGCTTGATTTCTTTCATGCAATTGTGAATGTTGTCATTCACTTATTGCATAGGTTTAGTTATAACTACTTTGCTAATCTTAGCATCTTCATTACTGATTACTTTCATAATAAGATGATAAAATTTGAGAGTGTCATAGATTATATGTGATTTAGGATTTATTGTCCAAGTGATGGCTCACACTTATTTTCATGATTGAAACCTTCAACTTGACAAGCTACTATCGTTAACGTTCAGCAACAAACTTTCCATAGAACATCTTCTTTATTATCGCCATTAAGGCAATAATATTCTCAACATATATTTTATTAGACTTCCTGATGATGCTTTGCTTGGGTTTCATTCCAAACGACTTACAATGATTTGGGATACCCTAATCACTTGTGATCATGGAAATTTTCCTTAAATTCCTGCACATTACACATGGATCCACGTCCATGTTACCATTCTCAAGCCACGACTCATTTTAAGCTCGTGCTTATAAATGACCTCCTTGTTAAGGATCTAATCCTTGTTAAGGCTTGTGCTTGCAACATCAATTCTCAAATTGTATTTGTTTCCACAAGTCAATAACGGATCCTGTTACTTTGGATGTTCTTGGCCATAATCTAACGATCTAATACATAGATTCAGGTTGATTGGTGCTTCATACATACTTCACATGCTTTAAGCAAGTAAGTCCTGCGACAATTCCATATCACAACGTACATGATGGATTAAATTGCAGAGTATTCTCAATCTTATTCCATCATTTTGTCATTTTAGCTCATTCAGTTTCACTGAGACTTTGCTAAATTGTTTGCTATGTGATATGGTTGAAAGTCTCTATTAGAGTCTTTCATGTTTGACTTAGTATTTAGCCTAGCTTATACTTAGTTAAAACATTTACTTAGTTACATATGGGTCGAAAGTCATTCAAAGTCCTTCAATTCATGTTTAACATGGTAAACTCCTTTACGTGTTCAAATATTTTATCAAGTCTATACAGTAGAACTTAATACCCAATACGTACAAAGTATTGTCTTTTGTTTGGTCCATTGTCAAAAAATACTTTCAAACCTAAACATTTAGCATTTGATAGTTATTTCACAATAGAGTTCGTAGACTTCTTATTGGACCTTTATTTAATTTACTTTTGGTCCCACTAAACTTCTTATTCATAAGAACTTGTATGTTTCTCCATGAGTCAATCCTCTTATTAACTTCATGTGAAAACACGTTTCAATTCCTATATATAATGCTTCCTTTAATCCCATGACGCATTCCTTAAGCTTGCTTTTAAATCTAGTGTTTATTTAGATTTTCAAAACCCTTAGACTATTTTCATAGTCACTGCCAAAATCCTATTTTAGGAAGGCAATTTTGGTATCTATTTTGCCATATTTCATATGAGCAAATTTTCTAAAACAGTCACGAAAAGACTTTAGCATTCCGATTGGTTAATAGGTTTTTATTAAAATCAACTCCGTGAATTTAATTGTAACCTTTTCAACCAATCTAGCTATGTATGCATATACATTTCCACATTTGTTGGTTTTCTACTTGAAAACGTATTTGCAATCGATGGGTCTTTCACCCTTTATGCAAATTAATCAAGTTTCAAACATGATTTTCAAACATGGGGTCTGTTTCGGATTTTCATGGCCTCTAACCATTATTAAGAATTTGATTTTTCGTAGCTATCTTATAATACATTATTCCTTTACTATCTAATAGTAAACAGTATGTATGTCTTAGATTTATTTCTAACTTAATAGAAATTTGTAGGATTCAATCCAAGCCTTTGGTGAATTCTATACCTATACGGGGCAATTGCATCAACCACTGAGTTTCAAGGCGCCTCCAAAGCCCTTTTATTATGTTGATCTTATTCCAACATTTCTGATGTTTTGTGAGTAATGAATTCTCTTTTAAGGCACTTGTAAAGTCCTTTTGAGTATTCTTGATCAAGCATTCTCACGAAGCCCATTTAAGGTCTTACGAGATTCCCAGTTCTAGTTTGTTGATAAGCTCGATTGTCATCGAGTTCATTTTCCTCCCACTTGTCGTTTTGGAAACGTGTTACTTTCCAGAAAGACACCACTTAGAGCAACAAACACTATTTTCTCAATTAGGTTGTGGAGGTAATGCCCATGGTCTCACTTGAATGCTTACAAAGAGACATGTATATTGTCTTAAGGTAAAAGTTCGTTGTAAAACAAACAGTTAGCCCCCACTTGAGCTATCTTAGCCTTTAATGAGTCATTAAGCTCCCACTCAACCACCTAGATCTTGCTAAGCTGGTGAGATCCCACCGAGTTACTTAGCTCCCACTGAGCCAATGAACTCCAACTGTGGCTAAGAGTTTTAGACATATACGTGAAAAGACATTTAGAAGATAATTCTAACCATAATTGAATATGGCGTCCTTTCTTAGCTTCGACATTTTGTTTAGTGTAACATTAGTCCTTCGTGCAAATCTTAAGAACTTTATAGGAAAGGATGTGATCCATCATTGTTCGAGTCATTTTTAAATGGCATCGAGGTTTCCGTGAAGACATACTATGTTCTCCGTGGAGTTATTTATGAAAATTTAAATTTCATAACTTTGTGATGGTCACGCTTAGCTCAAGCAAACATCGCTCGATCTAATCTAGACGTTTTGATATCTTGCCAAGTCGATTATGTACTTACTGAACTCTTGAACTATTCAAGGTCAAGTTTGTTTAAGTTTGATGAATATAGCCATATTATTTCAAATTCTTTGTGAAACGTTGAAGTAAATGAATCCTCTTTAGCTTTCGGAGTCAATTGTTTATACCAAGAACAATAGCTCTTTACTTTGTCAGCTTCACAAGTAAGACTTGCTTGTCTTAAAACGATTCCAAATTGAACAACTATCTAGAGCCTATCTAATAGAGCCTTGAGTACGTTCTTGTCGATGTGACATTGATAAATATGTTTGGAACGTAAATCATGCTCATGAATTTAAGGTTTTGCTAGTTTATCGTGTAAAGATAATGTTTGTTTATAATCAAGCATTTTTGACTCATGGTTTAAACAACCATGCCATTCAAATAAATTTGCAACTATTGCTCATTGCTTTCAATGTGAGTCTTTCCGTGTGTAAATGGATCAATTGCTGATTATGGATCACAATAACCATTTATTTGTTCCAGCCTTAGCTTAAAGGTCTTTAAACAAAGCACACGACCTTACAAATAATGTAGCACAACTTGCTTCATTCTTAGCTTGTAAGTCGATAACTTAGCTTATCTTCAATAGTTTGAGGTCACTTTCAAAGTGGAACACTCAAGCAGTATCTGATACTTGTGAAGATAACGAATTGCTAAGTTAACTACAATAACATGAACTCATAGGTTGAAATGGAATTATTCCTTTTCTTCGTTCCTTGTTTCCTATATTTCTTATTTTACAATATCTCATAATAACCTTACATTAAGAACTATTTCTTTAAGAGTCTTTGACTTTTATACTTTGTTAGGCATAATCAAGCATCTAATGCGCCGTAAAACAAAGTTCCATCCACTAGGTGAAAAAAGAAGATTGGCACCGCCCTAAGGCCACCGGTTTTTAAAAACCGGTGGGGAAAATGTGGGGAAAAATAGGCGGGATTTTGAGGGGAGGTTTTTGCCACCGGTTCAAACTAAACCGGTTGCAAAAACATTATTTTCACCGGTTTGAACCGGTGGCTTTTCCTTTTTTTTTTTTTTTAAAAAAACGCCCCTTATAAAAACCCAAACCCTACTCTCAAATCACTCAGCCTCCCTCATTCTCTCTCTCCTCTCCTCTCCTCTCCTCTCTCTCCTGATCTCATCTCATCTCCTCTCCTCTCCACATCTCATCTCCTCTTTCCTGCTCTCTCATCTCACCACAACCGCCGCCGTCGTCCCTCTTCTTATCTTTCTTGCTCTCTCGTCTCACCACCACCGCCGCCGTCGACTTCTTTCCCCTCTAAATCTCTCCGACCTCCCTCTCTCCCTCTTCTCTCCCCTCTATCCCTCTTTTTCCCCTCTCGATCTCTCCGACCTCCCTCTGTCTTCTGCCCACCACCACTAACGCCACTAACCACCGCCGCCACCAAGTCCGAAATCAACCACAACTTGTAAAATTCGAGGTTATTTTCAGGTAAAATTCGAGGTTAGTGGCTTAGTGCATGTAGTTGGGTTTAATTATTCGGGGTTAGGGTTTCTGGGTTTAATTATTTATTTTACATGCCTTGATTTTTTTTTTTGGGTTTTATTGTTGTAATATTGTTCGAATTTGATGGGTTTAATTGATTTTGGAATTTTCTGGGGTTAATTGATTTTGTTTAGTTGTTTGCGTTTAATTGAGTTTCAAAATTTCTGGGTTTAATTTCGAAATTGATTGGTTCGATATTGTTTGAAATTTCTGGGTTTAATTTTTTGCTGGATGTGATTGATTTTCGAAGGTTTATGGGTACATGCATGATATCTGGGTTTTTTTTTTTTTTTTTTTTTTTTTTTTTTTGAGTTTTAATAATTTCTGGGTTTTTTTTTTTCTGGATTTTTGTTTGATTTCTGGGTTTATGGGTTTTTTTTCTTTATTTTTTCGCAGCTTATTTATATTAATCAATTTATTTTTTTGTTTTAATTGATGCAGGTATAATGATTTATATCTTAAATTGAAGAATCAAGATTCAGGAATATTGATATAGATGTTGTATGGGTTTTTTTTAATTTTAATGTTGTAACTTTTATTTTTTGATTTATATTGTAAATTTTTTTATTTGTATGTTGTAATTGTTAGATTATATTGATTTATATTGTAATTTTGATGTCTGTAATTGTGATCTACATCGAGCAATTAGTAGATTAGAAAACTGTTCAGTAATAAAATTATGATGTTGCGTTTCCAATTGTTTGATTATTTAATTTATTCGCTTTTTTTTGAGGAAAAAAGAGTACTCAATATCCACACTTTTATTATATTTAAAGTGAATAAAACAAAACAAACAAACAAAAAAAAATTACATGGACTATTGCCACCGGTTAACCGGTGGCATTAATTTAATACCAAAAAAAAAGCGGGACGTGTGTATTGCTAGCGGTTAACCGGTGGCAATAACAGTTTTTGCCACCGGTTTTGAACCGGTGGCCTTGCTTCAGTTTATTGCCACCCCCCCAAATGCCCATCGGTTCAAAACCGGTGGCATAGGGGGGTTTTGAACCGTTGGCCAATTGATAATGAGTCTTACTCATCTATGTATTAATCGAAAAGATATGTTGGTTGTCAATATTGACAATTTGAGTTTGCAACTCAATACTTCATGTTTCAAAACTACCTAGTATTTCGAACACATGATGTCCAACCGTCCTTTCGGACTTCATAAAAGTCATTTATGAGAATTGTATTTTAGAAATGCTTTACTTTTCTTTGAGAACCATTCTCAAAGATTTCCTTTACCAATCATGGAAAGCAATACAGTTTGATTTGGAATTCTACAAATATAAATGCAAAGTATAACCATTTATCAAGTAAATAACATAATAAGTTTGAAAATTAAAAGGTATTCATGCAAATCTTGAATCTTATTAATCTTCTTATCGACGCATTAAAATTGTCCCCATTTAGCGAGAATAAGTCGATTCCAAGATCCAAAGAAACAAAGAGTGGGTAAGCATGCTTTGGCTTGTCTTAACACTCAATCTCCTAAGGTAAGCAACACTTTTCTAATGGCTCCAAGCCACTCTTGGTTGAATAAATCGTTGCATCTAATGCTCTCTGAACAATTTATCCACTTTGCCACGACATGTTAGGACTCCATCACTTATATCGTTGAGTAGAACCAAAACCAACTTGCATACACGGTATGCCTGACGCTCCTTGGAGAGGTAGTGATGCCTTGCTTTGGCGTAGCCCACCACTACCCTCGTTCGGTTGGTAACTGTTGTTTTTGAATGGCAAGTTTTACTCAATATTCAGGGACCTAGGGTTTCTATGTTGATTGATTTAAGTGAACTTAATTAATCATCACAACATTCGAAATCCTAAACATGTATCTACACTAGGTGAAAAAAGGCATTTGGCAGCAGTTCAAACCCGGTCTAAGGCACCGGTTTGAACCGCTGCCTATGTGAGGGGTGCCAAAAATCAAGTTATTGGCACCGGTTCAAAACCGGTGCCATAGGGTGGAATAGGCACCGGTTAACCAGTGCCAAAAAGGCCCACCAATTTTTTTTTTTTTTTTTTGCTTAAAAATTAAATAAACTAAAATAAATCAAACATCACAATCAATATAAACGATTCTGTTTAATATATCAATAAAAAAAATTACTAATAAATAAAAAAAATTACAACATATAAATAAATAAAAAAAAATACAATATAAATAAAAAAAAAATTACAACATCACAATCTAAAAATCCCCATATTCTTGATTCTTGATTCTTGATTCTTGGGATATGTATACCTGCGCCAATTAAAACATAAAAATTCGAAAAAAACCCAGAAATCAAAAAATCAAAACAAGCTGCGAAAAAAATAAAAAAACCAAGAAAAAAAATCGAATAAAAATCGATTAAATTAAAAAAACAAAATTGAAAAAAACCCAGAAATCAAAAAATCAAAACAAAATCGAAAAAATAAAAACAAAATCCCAGAAAAAATGAAAAAAACCCAGAAATCATAAAAATAAAAACAAAATCGAACAATAAAAAAACCCAGAAATCAATGAAAATAAAAACAAAAAAACTTGAAATCGAAAAAACCCAGAAAAAATCGAAAATCAAAATCAAAATAAGACAACGAAAGTAAAAATCAAAACACAAAAATCAAAATCGAAAAAAAGAAAAACAAAAATCAAAATCATTAAACAAAATCGAAAAAATAAAAACAAAATCCCAGAAAAAAAATGAAAAAAACCCAGAAAAAAACCTAGAAATCATAAAAATAAAAACAAAAACGAACAAATCAAAAACCTAGAAATCAATTAAAATAAAACAAAAATGAAAAAAAAATCGAAATTGATATCGAAAAAACCCTGAAAAAATCGAAAATTAAAATCGAAAAACAAAATTCAAAAATCAAAAATCAAAATCAGAAAGCAAAAACCCAGAAATTGAGGGAGTAGGAGATGTGTTCTTGGTGCTCTCCGTGGAGGTGTTGCATGTGCTCGCCGTGGTGGTCTTCGTGGTAGCTTTGGGAGAATGAAGAAAGGGAAGGAGGAGATGAGAAAGGGCGAAGGAGGAGATGATGAGAAAGACTGATGAGAAAGGGTGAAGGAGGAGATGAGAAATGGCGAAGGAGGAGATGAGAAGAGGAGAGAGAAAGAGTAGGAAAGAAGAGGACGGGAGAAGCGGCGAGAATAATAGGGTTTAGTATTAATATGGCCGATTTTTTATTTTTATTTTTATTTTTTATGTTTAAGCGGTTTTCTTTAAACTAAGGAGCGGTTCAATTGGCACCGGTTCAAACCGGTGCCCTTTTAGTTTTTGGCACCGGTTTGGTCTGAACCGGTGCCTTTTATATTTGTGTAAAATGGCGCCTAAATTTGGGCCGGTTTAGGGCACCGGTTTGGCCTGAACCAGTGCCTTTATGGGGGTGCCTTATTGTATTTTTCTACTAGTGCTAACATATAATTCATATACATAAACACATATATATCGAAAAACATATATAGAGATGCATTTGGCAACTAGCATGACCCCTTGAGATCTTCAAATCTACAAAAGGTCTTCATTTGCAACTTCATGGCTTCGTCTTCCAAGAACCTCCATCTTCAAGACTTGACCATAATTAAATGCAACTACTAGCATCTACGATTAGGATTAATCCAAATATTAAGGTAAAAAAATACTCAACGGTACGCAGATCGTATTTAGATTTACAAAAATACATCATGGATCACAGTCCGTAATTTCTATCCTAATCGGACCCCACTAGTTTCCATTTCATAAAACCTGTGAGAGAATATACATTCCATTCATCAATTCACTATCTGTGAATGGCCCATGCATTTTACAACGATAAACAAGTAACAATGCATAAACACGCGAGAACTAGTAACTAATCTTGGTGGTTAATCCAATTATCAGGCCTAATTAAAACTAGTCAAATTTGTTTTAATCGGTTATGTAAATAAGTGCAATTAATATTTGAAGCTCCCACTAAATTTTACATACAACACAATTAATCCAATTAATTAAGCCGGTAAAACCAAAAATTTGTAAAAATATATTTTTCCAATGCCGCTCAAAACCCGAGGCCTAGACTCCAAAATTTTAATTAAAATAATTAAAATAAATTAAAATAAATAAATCGGCCAAAAAGAAAAATTAAAACCGAGAGAAAAGTGCATCGACTACCCAAGGTAGCACCCTTGAGCACTCACACGCACGCAAGTGCTGGGCGCTTACCTAGCAGCCTCGGCCTTGCGTGCTGTGATGCTGCTGGGCGATGCTTGGCAGCGCGCACTCGATGCGCGTCTAGCTGCAGCTGCCTAGCATCTTCTCGCACGCCCCTCATGCACCAAGTTAGCACACAGCTCTTTGCACACACCTAGCACCACACGCACCAAGTGCAGCAGCCTCGTCCCTCGGCAGCAACATGCAGGCTGTGCGAGCAGCCAAGCTGGCCGAGGGATGCACATGGCTATTGTGCCTTAGTTTGCGTGTTTGTGCCTCGGAATTAATTCCCGATTTTGTGTGACATCCCTAATAAATTCTAAATTAATTTTAGAATTAATTCATTGAGCAAAAATGAAAATTTAAACAAGTCTAACTTAAAATAAAATTTCAAAGTGCATCTAACTAAAATAATTCCCAAGAACAATTCTTTAATTAAATTAGTTTAACTTGGTACAAAAAAATAAGAGGGCAGTTACTCACTATTAATTTAATTAATTTAAATTAATCTTGAGTTTTTGACAAAATGAAAGGGAGTTGGAAAAATGAACATAAGTTCAATAAAGATTCCAACTTTAATACTTGTGAATCCTTGAAAAAATTATATCTTCCAACTTGAAGATAAACAAATTTCTATCACAAAGTTTCAAACATTATGATTCAATCACTTAGCAAAGTTTAATAAAAATTCATGGAATTAAGTAACTCATTTTAAACAAGAATGAAGGAGAACGAAGAAAAAAGACGCGGAAATGGGCGCCTCCGGTCGGGCGATCTGTCTGTTCGACATTACTCGTTCTCGCGCTCGGTCGGGGGCCATATCGCCCGGTCAGGCGATCTGAAAATTTTATATTTTGAGGTTCTCGGGGCCGGTCGGGCGCCTTACGCCCGATCGGGCGATCTGATGCCCGTATTACCTTCAACTCTCGCTCCCGGTCGGGCGCCCTTCGCCCGGTCGAGTGATCTATCACTTCAAATTTTGCCCTTCTCGCGCCCGGTCGGGCGAGGCTTGCTCGATCGAGCGGACAAAGTAGTCCGTATACGACACTTCTCGCGCTCGGTCGGGCGCCCATCGCCTGGTCGGGCAAAAATGCTTAACTTTTTGACCTAGGTCTCGCGCCCGATCGGGCGGACTTCGCCCGGTCGGGCCCGAGACGAAATTGTCGAATTTATATATTCTTCTTTTCTCAAAATTTGGCTAACTCTTTTCCTTCAAAAGTGTACAAAGACTCATAGAACTGATTAAATTCCCTCATCTCTCCTCTCATAAGAAAAAGGAAAGAAAAACTAGTCTAAAAAGCATTAAATACGGGTTGCCTCCCGCAAAGCACTGGTTTATCTAGGTCTCGCACGACCTTCTTACCAAGTACAATGATTAGGACCCTTGGCCTAACGCTTGATCGGGTGATTTCTCACCCGATATAGCGGTGTTTCGGCTGCGACGCGACTTCATGACATGCCCTGTGGGACGCCAATTCACCTTATCTGGTGGGTCCTCCTTGACTTGGAGT